TTTTTCCTCTCCCAAGCTACTTCCTGTTCAAAGACAGTGTTTATTTTTTTAAACTTATCAGGTCCTACTGATCCCAAACAGTTAGGAGACATTAAAAATGCATACCAAACAGAGGCTGAGGTCTCAGGAGGATGTCCACCTAAATCCTACACTGGACCTTTAAAACCACAACATGCTGGAATACCAATAAAAATCAGTTTCTTTGGACTCGGGCCGTAAAATGTTGTGATTCCAAGACAAGGTGACCTTTTGGTGATAAAGGAACATCCTGTTACCCGTCCCTCCTAACAACAACAACCCACCAACAATCATAAAAATACCACAATCCAGCTGTAAACCTGCCCCATCTCATGAGAAAGAGCTGCAGATCACTGTCATAAAAGTCTGAGATGCTCCTGTCACTGTCCAGACCCTGCCCCCTCAACTTTCACCTGTATCGTTCCTGCAGATATGGAACTGTTTGTCTGATCCTGCAGGTTAAAGTGTCTCTGTCGCAGCAGTTATCGTTTAACGTCAGCTGAGTGACGCAGACGACAAAAAAAACAGCAGCTACACCAACATGTTTTCATTCAGGCTGGACTTTAGCTGCTGTGTTAATGAACTGCTGAGACTGCACGCAGCTGCAATCAATTTAAACATCTCTATATGGTTTAAAACACCAGTTAAGTGCACCTGAGAACAGTGATGGAAAGTTTTTAAATATAGTTACTGAAGTAATGTACTTAAGTATGATTTCAAAGCACTGAGAGTTTTCTACAGTTTTCTCCTTTCAGCTACTTTATTATTCTACGACACCAAATGTTAGCAGTAACATTTAGCAGAGAAAGAAGTGGTCAGATCATTTACGTAAGTTAAAGTAGAAATACCACAAAATTCACCAGCCATTTAATTAGGTACACCTTGCTAGTGCCAGGTTGGACTTTGTTAGCTGACAGGAGTGGCACCTGGTGTGGTCTTCTGCTGCTGTAGCCCATCTGCTTCAAGGTTGGACAAGGTGTTGTTGCTTCAGAGATGATCTTCTGCACACCTTGGTTGGAACCAGTGCTTATTTGACTTCCTGTTGCCTTTCTATCATCTTGAACCAGTCTGGCCATTCTCCTCTGACCTCTGGCATCAACAAGGCATTTTGGCTCACTGGATATTTTCTCTTTTTGGGACCATCCTCTGTAAACCCTAGAGATGGTTGTGCTGAAAATCCCAGTAAATACTCAGACCAGCCCGTCTGGCACCAACAACCATGCCACATTCAAAGTCACTTAAATCACCTTTCTTCATCATTCTGATGCTCAGTTTGAACTTCAGCAGCTCGTCTTCATAATGTCTACATGACTAAATGCACTGAGTTGCTGCCACGTGATTGGCTGATTAGCTATTTGTGTTAACGAGCAGTTGAACATGTGTACCTAATCACGTAGAAGACTATGGAAAAGCACGTCCAAATTAAGTACAGTATTATAATAAATCAATGTTCTTAGTTACGTACCACCCATGGTGGCAGAAGTATTCAGGCCTTTTACTGAAGTAGAAATGTGGTGCCACTTGCTTCTCAGTAACCATTCACACAGACGGAACAGCCAATGGGAGAAATATTTGGATCAGTATCTTGCCCAAGGATACTTTGACATGTGGACTGGAGGAGCCAGGAATCAAACCGCAGATCTTCATATTAGTGGACGACCTGCTCTGCCTCTGAGCCACAGCCACCCACATCATACTAACTTGAAATTTAACTAATGTTGTCAAATAAATTTAGTGAATTAAAAAGTAGAATGTTTTCCTCTGAGATGTAGCAGAGTGGAGGTGTAAGATAGCATAAGTTGGAAATACTCAAATAAAGTACAAGTACCTCAAAATTCTACTTAAGTACATTATTTATGTAAAGTTATATACGACCATTGCAGATAGCTTCTTTTACTCTTTAGTGCACAATATTGATTTAACAATTGTGTTACTTTTCAGATTAAGATTTTATATTAAAAACCCTATATAAGATTATAAAATACAACATATTGTTACTGAGTAAATCAAACCTTTGTAGCGTCTGACCCCTTATAAACAAAAAGTCATAGTTAGAGCCTCTAGTCTCATGATGTGTTGTTGTTGTTGTTGTTGTTAGAGACCTTTCACCTCTCAACATTGCAGATGGTTTAATTCATATAGCAGTTTGAGGCTGAACATTCTTAATAACAAAGATTATAGAAGAGTTAAAAAGATAAAAACAGGTTTATGTAACAGGACTTTGACTTTGGATGAAGTCGAGGTCGGAGGTGTGTGCAGCGACACTGTCACGTTGAGACAGGAGCGAGCCAAACACAAACTGTTGACACAAAGTTTGAAGTGCAGTGTTGTCTAAAACATAATGACTCAAGAAAAGAAACAGCCCCAGAACAAAAGTACACAAAAGCTGAGCCACAGGACTGATGCAGAGGAGTGTATATGTGTGTGTGTGTGTGTTTGTTGTATGTAAACCCAGACAGGATTAAGTGACAGCCCGGGGAGCTGAGCCGAGAGCTCTTGGCGCTCCTTCAGTGCCTTTTTTGGCTTTTGGCGTTCATCCTTGTCCCAGTTTATTTCTACTGCCCTCATCCCTTCAGCCTGGCCGTACCTCAGAGTGGATTTTATAGAGGGAACAGGCTTAGGTGTAACTACTGCGCAGTCAGTGCTCAAATAAAATTATGCAATAGTGTCTGCAGCAACATACAAGGGCAGAAAAGAAAGTCAAAGACTGGAAAGAGGACTATTTTAGCTTCTCAAAAACTCACTGTAAAAAGACTTTAAAGGAAAAACATGACATGTAGACTGTGCTTAAGTTTGTCTAAACAAGCAGGTTAAAGTGAGGGGACAAGAGGAGAGTGCAGGTTTTCTAAAACTCACTCACATTTGGTCAAAATCAATCTCGTTTATCAGGTTTACTTTGTTGTCTCTTGTAACTGCAGCTGTGTGTGATAGCTGCATATTTACATGCCTCCACACAGGTGACAGCCGTGGTTAGAGCTGTTATGTTTTCAAGATGTCCGTCTGTCCCATTCTCGTAAACGGGATAAGTCAAAAACGTCTTGAGGGAAACATCCACTTGGACTCAAAGATGAACTGATTAGATATTGGTGGTCAAAGGCCAAAGGACACAGTGACTAAAAAAAACATGTTTTTGGCTGTGACTCTATAATATATACACTAATTATGACAAAACTTCACACGAATGTCTAACAGGATAAAGAGATGAAGTGATGACATTTTATATCCAAAAGGTCAAAGGGCAAACTTCACTGTGACATTGTAATATTCTACATAAACACTTTTCTGGCCATTATGTAACGTCATATCTCAGGAGCAGAAGGGGAGACATTTGGTCAGATCCTGAATTGGTGACTGTCATCTTTAAACTGTGCTGATTGTTGAAATGTGTGTGAAGCTGTAGCTTCTCTGCAGCAACATCCATAGGCCTACTTGAAGCATTGTCAACTGTCATGGCTACATATGAGTCAGACTTGAATGTAAACTGTAACTGCAACTTGAGCGGTTTACAGAGGTGTAAAACCACAAGCTGGTAATTTCAATTTCATTGTTTTACTGCCAGATACTGTATGTCTATTTTACACCGTCTGTGACAATGAAGGCTGAACTGAAAGCAATATAAAACATTAAAGATTAATGTTGGTTGCCATCCGTACATTTTGTCCTGTGTTTAATACCTGGCTGCAAATAACATTTCCTTTGGGATAGTCATAAAGGTGAAGTTGCCTAATAGTTCATACAAAGGGTACACATTTCCTGTCTCTGTTTAAGGTTAAAAACTTTCAAGCAAAAACCCAAATAAATGTTGATTTTCTGCTAAATTTGCTTGCATATCTGAAAGTAATATTTCCTCCTAAACTCAGTACTGGATTACGGGCATTGGATTAAGGATGTTATGTATTCTTTACAATTTTGAAAGATAAACTGCAACCATTTCTAATGTTGTGGCAAATATGGAAGCTAAATAATTGTAATGAAACATGCTAAACTCCCCTACTAATGTCATATAGATTAATTAAATAAATTAAGGTTCTCATTGTCTTTTGGATTCCCTTTGACTGGTCTGCCTTTCTTTGCTTGTTTTTGTGTTGATGGGTGGGTGGGGATTTTTTTCCTTATAGGTTCTGTGTTTGTTTTTAGTACTCTGTATGTCTTTATTGAATTGCTAATAAAAATATCTTGTTTAAAAAATCAGGACTGGATTACTAACTGCTTAGGTTTCCTGTGTATCTTTTTTTGGGTGATTTTAAAGTATAAAATAAACTAACTTAAATGAACAGCAGGGGTAAACAACATCCTGTTTTGGAAAAGTAAATATGAAGGTAAATGTCAAGAAAGGTTGTATTTAATTTGCCTAGTCCTGTTGTAAATTCTGTTTCTTGAATAAGGTACATTTGATTGAAACAGTTGAATTAATGAATTTATTTTTTCTAGAAGAGGATGAACTCTGAACACTGAAAATTAGCACTTGACCTTCATGTAGCCTACCTTTTCGTATTTCAGTTTGCAGAGAGGTGCTACAGATAAAGATTTGTTGTTGTTCTCATCATTCTTAAGATTTTTCATGCCTAGTTCATTTTATTTTTATTAATATTAATATTTTAAGTTGTTTTATGTCAAAATAACCTCTTTGATTATCACAAATCTTAAATTATTTGAAATAATGAAGGTCATTATTGTTATACCGCCAAGAAGCCTCTAAGTCTGCTACTATCACAGTTTAAATGAAAAAAGACACGTGATTGGTCAATCTTCCACATGCTGAATGAAAGAAGGGACGGGATTGGTTGGGCATTCTCCGTCTCTTTACGCAAGAAGTAGGCGGGACCGTGCCGAGCCCATCAATGGGCAGCCTCAGCGATTGGTCTGTAGTAAATTGACGTCAACACTTTGGGCAGAACATCCAATGATGTAAAGCTATTCCTGGAAGGGGCGTGGCCTTCATGACATTCATTAGAAGTCGGCGCTTCCTTACCGGCATTCAGTGTTACCTTGCGGAGGAGAGACACGTCGGTGTGCTATTTATTTATTTATTGTAGTTTATTTTTTAATTTGAGCTAAAGATGCTCGGCCTGTGCCTTTACGTCCCGGTGTCCAACTCGGACCAGGTTGAAGTGGAATACTTTGAGTCTAACGGACTGCCGTCGGAGCTCAAGTCTCTCTTTAACAAGCTGAGCCTCTTCCTGCCTTCCCAGGAGTTTTCAACCTACCAACGATGGCGAAAGGTGAGCGAGAAACACTCAAAGTTAACTTTCTAATGCTTAATGTGTCACCACGCAGCGTATTTAGCGTTAGTACTCACCTGCTTTTCCCGATCTCATTACTTTGACCGCCGCTAAATCCTTTCTTTCCGGGCGCCGGAAAGATTAGCATGAGGGTAGAGTAAAGCCTTACGACTAGGCCGCAGCGCTGACCGGCTTCCAGGAAAATCGCTACGAGGAAATTTCTAATTTTTTTGTGAAAAACTTTACTGTAATTATCTGTAAAATATTTGTCTTAGTTTATTTGAAAACATAATGATATTTTTTAATCGAAACTAATTGTTATAATCTTTAAAAGTGAACTAAATGGAGCGCGCGCCACACTCATTCATCAAGGGAACATCCACCCTAAAAAGGAATTTGTGCTATGTCTGAGTGGATGTGGAAAATCGCCCTGTCTGCTGCCTTGTGCAACTGTCTGCTGATAGTGAAAATCTGATGTAATGATAATAATATTAAAACAACAGATTGTGATTGTTCTAAGACATAAAATACACACATTTGCTGTAGTAAGTAGTTTAAAAAAATGTGAAACTGGCATCAGTCAGGCAGTGCACTACTAGACTGCAGTGTGTAAAATGTACAAATTATGTACCACACTTAAGTATTGTAATGTGAAAATACCTTTGAGTGTCACATCTTTAATTCCTTGCACGTTCTCATTTTGCTGAAGGTCATTTTATTGCACATTTGCACACACAGTGCACTGCAATCTTATCAAATCCCATGTGCCCACCTGACCTGCAGCACTTAATGAGAGTTGGTCAGTTTCCCACACTCCAAAAGGAACAAACACGCATCATTACAAATCAAGAGTCGCAGTGGTCGCAGTTATTAGGGTTCCAGTGGTTGCGGATATGGCAGGGTATCTCCAGTAATATGTGTAACACCTCTTTTGATATCTTTCTTGCTCCACTGTAGCAAGAACATTTAATATAGTCTTGAGTGAACTAAACCTTGAATTTTGTGCTCAAAGTTTGCACCTGTCTGTGACTCATCCTCCCTCTGCAGTCAGTTGGCCGCTGACCTGTTAGAAGTTTCAGTCCCGCACACAGCTGAGGTTCACATTTGTGTTCATGAACTGATGGCACTGCAATACTTTGTAAACATTTATTTCGATGTGATAACTTCAGCTGGCATTGAATGCCTCCAGCAAGTCAGCTGCCATATCGCGTTGGAAAAAGGAAATACAAGCACACAAACATGTCCAGTAGTGCAGGAAAAGCAATGAAATATGACATGGCATTCACCTCTGACCATGCTGTAAGTCACATTTATGCGCTTGTGTAGTACGTTTAATGGGTGCTGCAGGGGGGCGCAGGATGTCCAGCAGTGTATCAGTGTGACAGTCATATGCCTGTACTGTGGACAGCGGGGTCAGGTATCAGCCCTGGCCAGTAGGCAGGAGGACTGCCGGTGTCCTCATCTTGTTTTAGCTCAGGAGGTTTGAGCTTAGACTGGATTACATCGGTTGGCAGGTCGGCCTGCAGTTGAGGTCAAAGATAGACCTGCGTGTTACAACCTAATTACCCAACCTCCCCTGTCCTGCAGACACGAACGTCATTCCAGAGCGCCAAGAGCATTTCGTCTCAGCAAATGGGTCATGAGACTCACCAGTGCCATCGTGACATAGAAGCCAGTGCGCATTTTAAATCCTGAGTTACATTCAGACTGCATGATTGGCAGCCAGACATGGAGTACATTACAGAACTTGCTGTACCTGTTTCATAAGTGACTAATTAATCATTTTAAATGTCTGCACAGATCATTCCTCTGCATACCACTGCAGATATAAATAACTGCTGGGGTTTCTCCCTGAAACTGTGTGTAAACATGGTGTACAACCACATTACTCTGCATCTTTGCATCAATAAAATGTAATTCTCAGCCCCCCCAACAACCATCAATATATTCAGACTTGACTCTGTCCTCTTATCTGACATGTTGGAGTACTTTGTCTCATTGTCTATGTATTTTTTTCCTTACAGAAAGCGGGAAAAGGAGCAGAAAATGTCTCAGACGGACAGCTGGACTTTGACGAGTTTGTTCACTATCTACAAGACTACGAGAAAGACCTGAAACTTGTGGTGAAAAGCCTCAACAGGAAGAATGCAGGTATGAGGCAGCTGCCCTGAATATTGGCAGATGCATCAGTGCTCACTTGGTTTCATCTTTCACTTTGTGTCAGTATAAGATTTGTTCTTACACATTGTCTTTATTTCCTTTTAAGGCCAAGTTGATCTGAAGGAGTTCATGCAGTCCCTTCAGGAACTCGGCGTGCATATTTCCCCGCAGCATGCAGAGAACGCCCTTAAGAGGTAATTTCATTCATCCACCCGTGTCATCCACTGAAACCATGGTTTCTGGATTAAAGGCTCAGTATCTAATGTTTGTTTTTCTTTCTTTATTTAAAGCATGGATAAGAATGGAGTGATAACCATCAGCAGCAAAGACTGGAGCAAGTACACCATGCCAGAGAAGACTGAGAGCAGTCCAGAGATCATCCTCTACTGGAAACACTCCACGGTGAGTTCACCAATCTGCACCGAAACCACAACTTCTGCCCAAAGGGGAACACATGTAGATACAGCTGAGCTCTAACAGTGGTGCTCTTTCACTACCAGAACCCAAACAGGGAAGTTTGGGTTAAAAAAAAATAATGTGGAAAGAACTAGAAAATTCCACTGCTGGTGTTACATAAAACTTCTAGTGACCTATTTTCACCTAGCCTAAGATCCGATAGCGGTATCAGGGCATCCGATAATGGTATCACTCGAGCTGAGACCAATCAAAGTGCACAGTGTGTTGCACCTTCCTGTCTTGGGTAAAAAAAACAGGTCAATCATAGAGCAAATTCCCTGAATGGCGCTATCAGCACAAGCCGTGCGTCAGCAATTAAGCCCTATTAGGCTATGGCAGGAATTGGTCTCATTCCTGGAGGATTATATCGGAAGGATTTGTCTCGCTGTTATGTAAAAGAGAGCAGCGGTCAGTCAGAGCAAGTGGAGGCTGGAGTAATACGACACCACTGCTGCAGGAGGACAGTGTGGTTTTTGGGTGTTAGTTCAAGGCTAATGAGTGCGGCAACCTCGACTTTTCACAGAGGGGACAGTGACGGGGCTAAAAATAGCGCTGGAGTTAGGCCTCCCGGGGGGCCAAGCAGAACGCAGCCAAGTCCCTGATGAAACATAAGCTGCTGGGGTCATTTCAGTTTGCACAAAATCAGATGTTTAATTCGTTGTGTGGCCACAGGTCCAGTCGCCACAGCGGGATCAGCATGTCCCCAAGTGACATTGAAACTCCCACTAGATATTTACAAGGAGGAGGTTGTTGATGCCCTCTTAATTAAAGCAGGGAAATTAATGTGCTCAGTAGAACTATATTATGATGATAAATCAAAAATAAAATTCCCAGACTGAGATTTGAAATGTTCTTTAGAGAGAAGGTTGTCATTTATCTTAGTGAGACAAACTTGTATTGGCCTTTAAAACTGAGACACTCGTTAGAGGGGACCAGTTGCAGGTTCAGACCAATCCAGTTATAACCAGTCTCTGCTTCCTGCTCCTGATCCTCATCGTTCTGCATCATGTCTCCTGTAGGACTTTGCCCCTTCGCCTATTGAGCCTCATTAACATTATGGCTCAGATTTCAAAGCAATACAGTGTGTCCATGCATATCCACTGAAATCAGTTAATCTTGACCTCCAACTGTGGTGGCTGTGAAAACAAACCTGGCGCTCAATGACAGTCACACGGTTTGACCATTACTGGGGCTCGAGGGGATCTGGTGACACTTTTACTGCCAGCAAAAATGTTCAGAACAGTATACACGAGGGCTGCACGTCAATGCCACACGTGAAGATTTTTAACTGCTAGCTGGATGTTTGGTTAAGAATAGAAACTCTTGGTGGCAGCAGCTGGCAGTGGTGAAGACAAACAAATAAATAAAAGTTCAACTAAAAACATCAAGAAGTTGTCCACATGACATTGACCTCCTCTAGTCTATCTTGGGGCAGGACAGTTACAAATGTTCTTCCAGGTGTTTTTCAAGGTCTAAGCTAAACCTGATAATTCATGTCCCCCTCCTCTTGGCAGATCTTCGATGTGGGTGAGAACCTGATGGTGCCTGATGAGTTCACCATAGAGGAGAAGCAGACAGGAATGTGGTGGAGGCACTTGGTTGCAGGTGGAGGAGCTGGAGCGGTTTCAAGAACCTGCACGGCTCCGCTGGACAGACTCAAAGTCATGATGCAGGTGAGGCAACCAAATCACATGATGAAACACTCCCTAAAAATTTTGAAATCTGGCAATGAAGTCAGAAAAAGTATGACCTTGGGAACTAGACAGTGTGTGAAGGAAAGCTGTGGAAACTCTTAACTTACAGCAGAGAATTATCATCAGCTTGTGAGGCGATGTGACCCAGCTGTACCAGACATAAAATTCCAACAGAATTCCCAAGTCAAAACAAGATTTAAGCACTAAAAATCAAATTTAGAATAAGAAAATGTGACCTAGGTTCTCCTTCAGGCCTTAATTAACCATCTTTCATAACTGCATGTTGTACAATTAGGAAAGAACTTGAAGTAAATTGCTCAAGAATAAGTTTCATAAGCGCCATAAACAAGTTAATGTTTAACAGACGGTGTGCAATGAGGGGGGGCAGAGTCCAGACGCTGACTCACTGTCAGAGCCAGGCCACTCCGCCGACCAATGACTGCTCGCATACAGTCGTCACACCCTCGGCCACGTAAAAGTCACCATCATCGATGGGACCAAGGTCTAACTGCACAGATTCAGGATCTGTGTCAGTGGCCCTGATATGCGTCACTCGTCGTGTTCAAAGTCGACTTTGAAACATGCCTGTCGACTTTGAGCCCTGATTGATCAGAAATTACATGCATTGGTTATGTTCCATGCGCCTTATCAAACGGGCCTAGTTGGCAAAGTTTTTTTTGGGTCAAAGGAAGTCTAGGCCTACATGGCATCACGCCTGATTCATCCCAAAATTTAATCATCTTCATCAGCCAGTAAAATTAAGTCAGATCTCCAAATAGTATGATTAATGTGTCTTATTCACAACTTCTTCCTTCTCAGGTTTATGGATCCCGAACCAACAACATGTGCATCCTGACCGGGATGATGCAGATGATCAAAGAAGGCGGCACGAGGTCACTGTGGCGAGGAAACGGCGTCAACATCATCAAAATAGCACCCGAATCGGCACTCAAGTTTATGGCGTATGAGCAGGTACGACGAGTGGCTCTCACTGTGGCTTCATTGTAATATTTCTGAAGCTTAGTGTTCATTTATTAATGTGTGTTCTTTCTCAATTCATCCAGATTAAACGCTTAATCGGCAGCGAACAGGAGACTCTGCACATCGCGGAGAGATTTGTTGCTGGATCTCTGGCAGGAGTGATCGCTCAGAGCACCATCTACCCCATGGAGGTGATTATCAGTTTAATTACATCTACTCTGAAACTGAAAAGACATCAGGAAACCTTATTTAGGTGTTCTCAGTACTAAACTCTTCCTTTTTATTCAATGTCCTCAGGTCCTGAAGACCCGTCTGGCTCTGAGGACGACCGGGCAGTACTCCGGTATAGCAGACTGTGCGAAGCAGATTTTCAGAAGAGAAGGACTTTCAGCATTTTACAAAGGCTACGTCCCAAACATGTTGGGCATCATCCCCTACGCAGGCATCGACCTGGCAGTGTACGAGGTGAGCAGTGAGCTCGACTACACACACAGTTATCCAGTGAAACCTCTGTGGGTTTATTTTGTCTAGCATTCTCTAGCCTTGACAGTATCAGACTGTGTTTGTATTTTATCACCCTGCTTATGGCACGTTCTCAACTTCTAATCAGAGCAAGAATGTTGATCTTTTCAGCTGCAGTCACTAGCCTCCTAACTTAGACCAATGTAAACCAGCTCCAAACACATGACTGAGTGACGTTACACACTCTGAATGCCCAAATGATGTAATATAATTGCTCTCTTTTCTCCTCAGACACTGAAGAACAGCTACCTGCAGCAGTACGGCACCAACAGCGCCGACCCAGGCATCTTCGTCCTCCTGGCTTGTGGCACCGTGTCCAGCACCTGTGGTCAGCTCGCCAGCTATCCCCTGGCTCTGGTCCGCACACGCATGCAAGCACAAGGTGAGGCCTCTGCTCCTGAAATGCTGCTTCTGTTGTCAGATAATTATCGTGTAGATGTTTAGTTTAAACATCTGAGCTGGAAAATGGAATCATGTGGCAGTGTTTTTCCTGATGTTTCTGGGGAAAGCCACCAACATGTTTCTAAACCAACTCAGTACACACTGATTTAAAAGGGAGGGTTGAAAAGTGTCTTAAGGAAGTAGCAGCTCCTTAAAGGACCACACCTGTTTAAGGGAGGATGCTTTCATAACTGGTTAGGGAAGGACATTCCTGCTGTAGGAGGACGGCATGATTCTGTAATTGTACTGGTGATTCAAAAGGCCGATGTCGACCTTTTAACAATAACAAAGACGCAAGTACAGCTGGAAGATTTATTACTTGTTGTCTTGAAAACCTTTGTCATGATCAGTTATTCTGACAAGTATCTTCTCCATAAGCAGTTGTTTGCTTTAGAAATAATCAGTGGGATAAAAAAAAGCACAAAATTGCGATACCCTAGAGCCAAACGTGACACCATTGTGTTGCTTTTTTGTAAAACCAACATTTAAAAACCCTCAAATATTAAATTAACTTTTCCTAAACCTAAGAACGTCACTTGATAATCATGTTAAGATACTATAATATTTCTCACATCATCTAACCTGCTCATTTTTTTTATCTTTACAGCTGCGACAGAAAAAAACCAGCAGGTGACAATGACCGGCCTCTTCAGACAGATCGTGCAGTCTGAGGGCCCGATGGGGCTCTACAGAGGCCTGGCCCCCAACTTCCTCAAAGTCATCCCTGCCGTTAGCATCAGCTACGTGGTGTACGAGCAACTGAAGACACAGCTAGGCGTGAAATCGCGCTGAAAACCAACCTCTCATTGTCACATGAAAGCTTGAATGTGATAAGTGACCCTCACCCACTTCCACCCTCCCTCCCACCACCACCCCACCATCCATACGTTAGGGAATCCCAGGGACCATTTTGGCCCCTCTGGGGGTTCGTGGAGCGATCTCATTCTGTGAATGTCAGCTGACGAAAGACGAGAAAGGCCAAGGTGGAGGATCTGGACTCTGTGAGCTCGGGTTGTCTGGACTGTGACTGCTGCTATTTATGTTTTTATCTCGTTGAGACCTGAAACGAGAGATGCGTGAGGGATGTGAGCGATTTCTATGTCGAGGACCAAATGTTCTTGCTCTTCATGCCATTTTGGTGCCTGAGCAACCGTCCTGTTTATTTTTTATGTTGGTGTGATACTGTAAGTTGTGGTTGGTCAGTGTGAGATGCAACACCAGCGCTCATGTTACGCAGCTCTACTGAAAACGACCACCATTCAGAGCACTTCTTGCATGTCAGATATAGCATTAATAAGCTCTTTGAGGGGTGTCATTATTATTTAACAGGAGGAAATGATTGTGTTCCTTAATGAGAGGAGTTTGCACATGTGAGATTGATCTCTCTCCACCCCCGTCCTGAATGAATGGATGAATGAATAGCTGACAGGATTTTTTGACTGTGGATTATTTATTTCCATCTGTCCTGTATTTGTTTTTATTGTCTCTGACAGTGGACATGTACTGCTTCAGAGTCAAAAGTAATAATAGTTTTAAATGCAGTGATTGTGTTCAGGATGGACAGTAACACCTGGCAACAGCCTTAACATGTGGCTATAAAACACTAAATGTAGTTGTCTGACGTGTTGAACATGAGGTTGGAGTTCTCGCTGTAGCTGCTGTTAAAGCAACTGAAAATAACTTATTGTGCAGACGACATCAGATTATGTCTGTTAATGTGTGTTCATGTTTTTGCCCTTTATAAAAGGTATAAATGTCTTAATGTTCACCTCAGGTTTAAGGGCAGATTACTGTTAAATCACAGAAGAGTACACCAAGGTGTTAATGTTTTTGGTTTCACAACATTTATACTCGGGGAAAGAAGGGCTTGGGAAAAAATGAGCAACATAATGCACTTTAATCAACACTGGAAGGGCCTCTGAATGAATGTCATATCAATATCAGGTATTAACATTTAATTCTTTTGTAAAGAATGAGTTTTAGTCTTGTTTTAATGGACCATTTTCATGCAAATAAATGCAAGTTCTTGTAATACCGAGCCTCTAATGTTTTCTTTTTGCACCAAATGTAATAGACAGAGCTGTGTGATGTGTCCAGAGTATTTTCCCACACAGGTTCAGTTTCAATACAAGTGACCAAGACAGAAGTGGATTTAGACTGGGGCTTTTTCATATTGTGCAGGGGCTTTTTCTTGTGTAATGTATTAAATGAAGGTTCAACTTGACTTTCCTCATTTTGGCTGCGCTCTGCTGCTGAATGGGTGATCAAGAGGTGTTTAGAGCAGCTTGCTTATAATGCGTTAGTGTTGTATCTAAATTAGCGTGATTACAAGTTTCCGACTTGTCAATAGCTTTCGTAATAATCAGAGCTAGACTGATAAATCAGCTGGTATTAGATATATTAGTATCAGTGCTCGTCAGCCAGTAAGGAACAAGGAAGTGAAGTACAGAAATGCCAAACTAGGTTTATGGTAAATGGGAAACTGTGTCTCTGTTACAGTTTGTTCACCAGAGAGTAGTTTCTTCAACTGTAAAATGTCCCAAATAAACGTTTAGGTCACAATACAAGCAAAAAACAAATCTGAGAGATCTGTATTAAGATATGTTTGTACTTGTGTTAATGTTAAAGAAAACTACAGGCTGATGTGTTGTAATTAAATATTTTAAGCTCCCAAATATCAATATCAGTAACAGCCTTAGAGTATCAGTCTGGTTATACAGCTGGGATTTATCTAAAAGCTTTTGGCATGACAACCAAACAAAAATAAACCTCTCACATCAGCCAAACACTGTTATTCAATGCAATCACATCAAAATGTAACTGACCTGGTGTTAGGTTGTCGGTACACAGTATTTTAATCCTTACACAACCAGCTCTGTCATGGACACTACATCAGATACTGGGAGATTACTTTGTACGTTTTGTACGTCCATTAGTGATATTGAACCATTCAGACTGGATCTGAACACTCCAATATAAGTGGAGGTGAATTTAATTTGTGGTGCACAGAGGTGGAAAATTACAAATGTACAAATTCAACAGCAACAATTTACTTAAGCAAAGAGAATCCAAAAATTAGTTTAATTGGGTCCGGGCAGCTAAGCTGCCAGGACACTATTGTAATCCTAGGTATTCTTCTTCTTTCTTCTTTCTTCTTTCTTCTTCCTTCTTCCTTCTTCCTTCTTCTTCTT